AACTTTCGTATAGAAATCTCTATCAGACCCACTGCCGCATCTATAGAAATGTTGGGTATAGAGTCGCCGCATTTTTATACATATCTCTCTCGACCCTATAGACATCTTTCGTATAGAAACGAAATCTGTGTACAGAATGTCATGGAACTGAATTCTTATAGAAAAAATTCGTATAGAAAATTTTCGTATAGAAATATCCGAATATCATATACGAAAAACATATAGAATTCGTATAGAATTCGTATAGAATGATTCTGAAACTTTCTATGCGATTTTTTCGTACATGTTATCATTTTTTGAAGATTCATGTCCTTTTTCTTTGTGCAACTTCACATCAAATTCGAAATAAAAAAAAATCGTGGATCCAATCCTCTCCGAAATTTTTCCCTGAGAAGGAGTACATGAGACCCATGCTCTCAGAAAATTTCCAGAGTGATGTTTTTTTCACCGAATTATGATTTTTCAAAAAAATTCACTTTTTTTCATGTGAATTTGGCTTGATCAGGAAAAAGGTTGAAATAATTGAATTCAATTATTAGGGGATCGAATTCTCGCTTTCACAGATGTGAAGATCATTCAAAAAGCTTCAAAATGAGCGTGGTTGACCTCACTTCATCTATTTTTTCACCCGTTATCACGAAATCAATGTCCTTTTAATCTGCAATTACTCGAAAAATTCTCTTTCTTTTAAATTTGAGATTCCAGGGGCAATTTGATGATACATTTGCGAACATTGCACCTGAAGGACAACATTTTTTGCAATTCAATCACTTTTTTCAATCATTACAACATTACAAGTAGTGATGGGCGATTCTGAATCGATTCTCAGAAGATCGATTTTTCTTTTCCTGAAAATCGATTTTTTTCGTCGATTCTCGAAAACTCGATTTTTCGATTTTTCGATTTTTTTTTGATAATCGATTCTTTTGTATCCTTTAATTTTTTAATTATATTAAAATCATTAAAAAATAAAATAATTATTACAAATTATCTTGGTATTATTATTACGAATTTTCTCTTAAACAAATTACTTCATTCTCAATTTATTACGAAGGTCGCCCCTTACGTATCTTACATTGGTTAAGTGCCGCCATAATATCCGCGACCTAACCTGCAAATTGTTGGATAGAAATCAAGAACACGAGACCTAATGAAGAAACAATGGACAACATCACAATTACAGGTAGGTATCCGCATAAACCCAATAATATATATTTTGATTTATGGTTAGATAGTATATTAATTAAAATTAATTCTTCTTTGAAATCTATATGTGTATCCTCAGAACATGCCCAGAACACATCCAACAGGAATTTCACCATTTACATCCAGGTAAATTGGGACGACCCTTTCCGTGTAGATGGACTGTCACTGCAGCAGTATTTGGCTTTAACACGTAAGCGAAGAGTTTCTACTCATTTTGTTTGTAAAGTATTTCAAGACTGTCTTTTTTTAACTTACAGGGGATGATGGTTATGTACAAGATTTTATCGAAAAGTTAATTTCTACACGACGTATTTCTACCTCCCGTCAACACATCGACCAGTTATTTCGAGCTCGAGATGGAATCCATTAGTATGTAAACCTGAGTGGGGATTAGTAATAATCATTGAAAAATACAATTAATCATAAATATTAATTTTCCTCCTCCAGCGAGCCAGTGACGGTGAGAGATTAGATGAAGAGCACTCGGCCAATCTCCGGTCTCCAGGAAGTCGAAGAATTTTTCACAAATTTTTCACTGAGATTCTTGAATAAATATGTATGAAATACAGATGTAAAATGGGAATAAACAGTCATCAAACATATTCTATATTTGAAATTCCTCATTTTCCCGCCGCTCAATGCAAGTGTAGAGTGGGTGATCACGTGTGAAATGTGGACTTTCAAGTTCAACTCACTTCACGGTGACGCTGAAAAAAGCCAAGAAAATGTTCAGAGGAAGTCGTGAGTAAATTTTTCTTTTCAACTCCAATTTTTCCTCCCCTTGACGTATCCCAATTAACTAATAAATTCAAATTTCAGCTCCCCCGGTGGATCCTAACCGCAAATTTTCCATGTTGATAGTCCCGAATGACAATATTCATGATCCTCACCGGCTCACCGATCTAGATCGTCGAACATACGTAAACCTCATGAGTAAATATCTTCTGGAAAATTACTTTTCTTTTCTCTAGTCCAGAATCATAATTCGTGCATGATTCGTTATTTTTTCAAGATGTTAAGCAGTTCGTCCACGATTACGTTCGAAAAAAGATCAGTAGTGGAGATTGGTCGTCACCCTGTGATGAGTATGGACATGAAGAGGAACTTGAATGCATTCGAAGATCTATCGACGATGTCCATTAGTAAATATTAGTAATTTTCATTTAAAATGAGTACTGCGATGGACTATAAACCAAACTATATAATCATCGTTCAATCATTCTCCCTAGCGACGTTGCTTGGTGTAATGTGGATGAAACTCATGGGGATGAAACCGGTCCACCGACTCCAACTGATGACGATTCTGCAAAAGCGTCTCCAAATCTCTGTAATAGCCAGAAAGTCAACAGCAACACCTCATCAAAATCACAGCCAATAAGTAAGAATACTTCAAGCATCTCCAGATCTCATGAATAATCAGAAAGCAAACATCAACACCTTCGAAATCCATCCAACACCATCAACACCATCAAAAATCAGCTACGAGAAAAAACGTCAAATCAAACTGTCAGCGGACAGAAATCCCAAGGTCATCTCAACAGAACAACGTGCCTCGATTTCAGTCTCAACTGCGTAAGTATCCACTTTTCTTTTATCCCTCCCTCTCTCGTCGCAGAAATATTGATTACCTATATGACGTACTCAATTTCAGCTCCAACGAACAGGACGACGAATTCATAGACGTCGACGATGAGAACGATCCATTGCCCAGCGTTGTCAGGTGAATTTCAATCAATTCCTGCATATTAGTGGAAATGTCAAAAAACACTTTTTGTTGGAAGTTCAGTTTTCTACAAAAAAGGTCCTTTGACATTGTCCTCTAAAATCGCTCATCTCCGAGATAATCTCTCAATTAACAAAGATTTTCTATTGAACTTGGATTATTTCATATTTCATCTCTCGTTGATTCGTTAATTATCTCGCGAATGAGTGGTATTAGTGGAAACTGTCAAAAAACACTGTTTGGTGAAGAACTAAATTTAGGGTGGATTGGGAGGTTAGAGGATCGTCGGTGTGAAATAACTGTTGAGAGTCTTAACCTAATATGAACGTTAATTTATTCTCGCGTTTAAACCACGCTTTGTCAAATTTACAAAATACCTTGTCACTAGTTGATCGTACTGAATTAATTTTAATTGGTTATAGTTTTTGCACTGTTGAGTCACTGGTTAAGTGGCCATTAAATAACGTGATTTTCTCTTTACTGAATTTCTACCGCCGAGCTAATAGACGTTAATGTACTGAACGTGTCTACACTCTGCGCGTTACTCAAATACGGACTTGAATTCTAATCAAAACGGACTATTTGGCCGATCGTTTTATACTGACGCGCGTTGATTTACGGTGACTCTACTAGACCTGAGCGTTGACCCGGAAAAGGCCGATGATTTTCGTAATTGGCCGAGTGGTCGACCTTGGTCTTGGAGAGGTTGAGTTACGTTTCAAACAAACACTTTTTGTTGGAAATTTAATTCTCTACAAAAAAGGTTGTTTGACATTTCCTCCTAAAACTCCTCGTTTCCAAGATAATCGCACAACTCAATACCCAAATCATGAAACTACAAATCCATTCAACTCAAGATTCAGTTTTTGATTAATATCTTCTTATCTAATGTAGATAACTGAATTTTCATAAGGACCTTGTTTGGTGAGGAACTAGATTTAGGGTGGATTGGGAGGTTAGAGGATCGTCAGTATGAAATAATTGTTGAGAGTCTTGACCTAATATGATTTAAAATTAGAGTCTCGACCTAATAAATTAGAGTCTTGACCTAATATGAATTAAACCACGCTTTGTCAAATTTACAAAAAAACTTGTCACTAGTTGATCGTACAGAGTTAATTTAATTGTCTATAGTTTTTGCACTGTTGAGTCACTGGTTAAATGGCCAAAAATAACGTGATTTTCTCTTTACTGAATTTCTATCGCCGAGCTAATAGACGTTAATGTACTGAACGTGTCTACACTCTGCGCGTTACTCAAATACGGAGTTGAACTCTAGCCGAGCTGATCGACCTTGGTCTTGGAGAGGTTGGGTTACGTTTCAAACACCCCGGGGGCATTCAACATCAGGGTTGTTGAATTACTGGTTGTCGTTCTGTTGGTCTTCTTCGTCCTCTAGTTGATCTTCTTCTGGAGGCTGTTCTGGTGGTGGTGGGTCTGTTGGCAACAGACAGAGCTTGGCGATTGGTCGATCAAACTCCGAGTGGGTCGTTTTGATGTTCTGGAGGTTTGGTGACCCGTCTGGATGCGTGCCGACTTCTACCTTGGTCATTCTTAGTTTGGCTACCCTTGTAAGCCCATCTGCTCCTGGTTTCGTTGCTATGACTCTGGCAATTGGCCACTGCGTTGGTGGAAAGCTGTCTTCCATCATCAGCACCATATTGCCAACCTCTATGTTGTGTTGACGTGTCTTCCACTTGTAGATTGACTGGTACCGTTGAAGACACTCTTTGGACCACCTGGACCAGAACTGGTGAATTATCTGCGTCACCAGGTTCCATCGTCGAATTTTGCTGGGGTTCTCGTTGACGTATAAAGACTCTGGGATTACTTGGAGAGGCTCACCTATAAAAAAATATCCTGGTGTGAGCACTTGGAGATCATCTGGGTCGTCCGACATCGGACAGATTGGCCTGGAGTTTAGACAGGCCTCTATCTGGATCACTATGGTGTTGAGTTCCTCAAACGTTAGTGTTGTCTTTCCCAGGACTCTTTTGAGGTGATATTTTGTTGATTTCACGGCTGCTTCCCATTTGCCACCGAAATGAGGGGCTCTAGGTGGTGAGAAGCTCTATTGTGTCCCATTGGTGGCGAGAGCAGCCTGAATTCGTTGATTTTCTCTGGAAGCTTGGTGATAGAGCCTTTCTAGAACTTCTGCTGCGCTGGTGAACGTGGTGGCATTGTCACTGTACATGACAGCTGGAATGCCCCGTCTTCCGGTGAATCTCTTGTAGGCTCCTAGGAAGGCTTCCGTGGTCTGCCTGTTGACGAGTTCTAGGTGAACTGCTGAAGTTGTAAAGCGCACAAAAACTGCAATGTGCAACTGTCCTGGCTGTGCATTCGTTGGTCTCCACGTCAGGATCTGGAATGGACCTGCATAATCCACCCCTGTGTGAAGAAATGCTCTGGATGGTGATACTCTGGTTGCAGGCAGCTGACCCATCTGTTGTTGAGCCTGCTTCACTCGGTGTCTGGTGCAGATAGCACAGCGCAGAATGTACGCTCTGACTGTACCCCTGCCACCGATTATCCAGTACCTTTGCCTGGTGTAGGCCAGCGTGAGTTGAGTCCCTCCGTGGAGGGTTCTGCGATGAGCTTCTTCGATCACCAGTGTGGTGAATCTCGACTGACGTGGCAAGATTATTGGGTGTGTCTCTTCAGGGTGTAGGTCTGAGTTCTTCAGGCGTCCCCCAAGTCTCATGATGTTCAACTCGTCTAGGGTTGGTGTGAGCTTTGCTAATTGGTGACCTCGTGGTAGCTGTTGATTTCTCTGAAGCACACGAAGGGCTGAAACAAAGTACTAATTTTGTGTTATTTTTACCCAGAATAATCTCGCTTCGTTGAGTTCTCTTGTTGACAGGATTGGTCCCGGGGGCGTCGGCAGTCTCCTGAATCTGTCGATTGCCCTGTTGATAGTCGCTATTACTGCTAGAAGCCAAGCCATCGAGCTGTACCTGGTGAGTAGCTCAGCAAGTTCGTTGACTTTTGGTGCAACTGGATGTGCTCGTGCTGGTTTCGCTTCCTTGGCCACCTCTGAGATGTCCATTGCTGGACCGTCAATTGTTGATTGTGGCCACTCTTCAGGATCCTGAGTAATCCACTCAGGTCCTGACTACCAAAGTTGATGATCTGCTAGCTGACTTGGAGATATGCCTCTGGATGCGCAGTCGGCTGGATTTTCTTTCCCACTGACGTGTCTCCAGATGGCATTCGGGAGAGTTTCCTGGATCTTGACCACTCTGTTGTGGACGAAATCTTTCCACCTTGATGCGTGGCTTCTGATCCAAGCGAGTGTTACTGCTGAATCCGACCAAAGATGAGTTTCTGGATGATCGAGCTGAAGCATCCTCTGTGTTGAGGCTACTAGTTGTGTTAACAAGAGAGCTGCTGTAAGCTCTAATCTTGGAATAGTCATGCGCTTGATCGGTGCTACCTTTGTCTTCGCGCAGACCAT